GGAAGCCCCTTTCTGGTGGTTGAAAATGACGTTGAGCGGCTCCGTCCTGCTAATTGGGGTTACTTTTCCCAAAATTTGATATTCTCTATTATTTTCTCTGCAACCAAGCATGATTAGGTTTAGTTTTTGGTGCGATATCTTTTTAGTGGTTTTGACGAGAAATCCATGTGATAAAATTGATATTTGTGTTTAATTCTTTAATTTTATTAGGGTTTGAAATATGAAGCTTGATCTCAGTGGTTTCGAATCAACTGCACCCTTTGTTGGTGCTAGCAGTGAGCTTGTTGGTGGGTTAGCAGCTGCCCCTTCATTTGACATCCCTGCTACTACTGATGTGAGTTGAAATGCCATTGTTACCTTCTGATATTTATTGGTTTTGTGTGATGGAAGAAGAATATTTCGTTGCTTAAACGTGTACCTTTTTCTGTATATTTCAGTTTGATGGCTTCCAGAAGGAAGCCATTCAGATGGTGAAACCTGCAAAGGGTACCACGACGCTTGCATTCATTTTCCAGGAGGGTGTCATGGTAGCTGCTGATTCTCGTGCAAGCATGGGTGGTTACATATGTGAGTTTGCTGGTTCACTTGCTCTGGCTGTTTTGTGAAACATGGTGAATTAATTCACTTAATGAATCTTTCAATGGAGATACATTCAGGGAAAATTCATTCACTTCTTAACCATTGTAGATTAACTGCTGATTAAAATAAAAAACCATTGTCGGCTAACTTTTATAATAATGGTTCTCAACCTTCTTATTGGTGTCAACTGTCAATGATCGTAACTGTTTTACATTTGTTACATTGTTATCAGAGTGCTTTCATCAATCGTAGTAGTGGCATAGTGAGGTAGTTGAAAGTATGTTATCGAGGGGGATGGTTATGATTTCATACACCTCATGCACAAATTTTCATCCCTCTTTTTATCTACTCACTAATTTTTTAGTGGTATATTGAGTACTACTGCCATTTTGCTTGGTGGTATGCATTGCTAGGAGCCTGCATCATTTTTTTCCTTTCTATTGTTTTCATATATACTAAAAGCAAGACTTATGATTCTTTCCCCCATTTTCTGCAGCATCGCAATCTGTCAAGAAGATTATTGAGATCAATCCTTACATGCTTGGCACAATGGCTGGTGGAGCTGCTGACTGCCAGTTTTGGCATAGAAATTTGGGCATTAAGGTACTGAATTGACTCAATTTTGCTTTCAGTGGTTGCTTTTCATTGCTAATATGTTAGGTTTTGTGATTTTGTTCTGTGGTTGTGCTTTATGCTTTTCAATTTTGCTTCTTTATGGAAAGTTTAGAGGGGTAGTCTAGTGGTGGCTTTTTATGCAGTGGGTTATCATCTACTTATCTTGATTAATATTCGAGATAGCTGTTCTTTTTCTGGTTTTTTATTTCTTTGGAATTTGATTGTTCTAACCGAACAATGTTGTATAAATAACATTATTTGTGTATTTGGGTATTACTGTGCGCATGGTTTTAGGCATCCTTTTATTTTGCTTAGGTGGCTAACCAATATCATTCTACTATTTTCTGAGTTGTTTAGCCTTGAAAATGAGAAGAAAAAAAAAAAAAGGAAAAAAAAATTGTGTTTACCTTTGCTTGTATGTTGAGTATATGGCTGCTGGTTTAATATAAACAGTTTCTGTGATCAAACATCACGCATGTGTTTCTTTTACATGCATGAAATTCTAAATTTCTAATGGGTAAGTTTTTGCTATAATTTAGTGCCGGCTACATGAATTGGCAAATAAGCGTAGAATTTCAGTCACAGGAGCATCCAAGCTGTTGGCAAACATTCTTTACTCTTACCGTGGGATGGGACTGTCGGTCGGCACAATGATTGCTGGATGGGATGAAACGGTATGGACATCATGATATTCTCTCCCTCCCTTTCACTTCCTTGCTTTTGCCATCTCACTTTATATATTTATTTAGTCTAACCTTTTCTCGTAAGCGGATCTTATCTGGTTTCTAGGGTCCTGGGTTATACTATGTTGACAGTGAAGGGGGAAGGTTGAAGGGAACACGTTTTTCTGTTGGATCTGGTTCACCTTATGCTTACGGTGTACTAGATAGCGGGTATGGTTCTTTTACAGTTGTTTATGTAGTTATTCTCCATTTGTATTGGAATTTGGAAACTTAGTCCAGGTGTTCAATGCAACTTTTTCTTGGGAAATGCAAACATTTAATCAAA